TTTGAGTTCTATAAATTAAATGTATATAGCTCTTATACACATTTTAATAAAAAGCAAGCCATGGCAAAACCCGTGAAAATTAAAAAAAAAATTGAAATTTACTTAATTAGAACTTTATTAAGTGAAGTATTCTATTGTTTAAATATTTTTATATTTCAGTTTTAATAATTTTCTACAAGGAGATTCCCAAAATTCTGGGTCATAATGGCCAGAATGCATTATGGTTAGGGTTGAGTTAGGGTTAGCAGAAGCTATAAGCTATAGTAAAATTATCAGCTGGGCACTTTTCACTTAATAAACGACTATTGTTTTATTAGTAAAATTCTTAGTAATCTTGAGGCAAAATTGATCAACTCCAGCCTTTTCAACCAAAGCTCTGAAGTTTCCAACATGGAATTTTGAGAATCTTTCTATAGGAGTTATATACATATTATCGGCTTACTACTTAATCTGAAGTTATTAATATTTTAACTCTAATAATAAGCTTTTATTATTACAATAACATGTTAAATGGTATATACAAAGTTCTTTAGATTTAGATCTTATATATAATGTTTCTTTTTTTTTTGTTAACCATTTAGAGCTTACAAATAGTAAAATATTCACTTCTAAGTAAAGTTCTTGGCTTTCGTAGTGATTTTTTGTTAGTGAAATATTATGTTCTTCAAAAAGTATTTAAACTGTATAAATAAGTTATTCAGAAATTGATTTACTATTAGCCAATCAGACGAATGTATATCTATGAATTTTCTGAGGGCATCTACAATTTACTACCATATATTCCTGAAAATAAGCTACCATTTTTGGGCAAAAAATTACACAAAAATTTCGGGAGTAGCTTATTTTCAAGTAATAGAGGTTTTTGACTATTTTTTATTAAGTAAATGTAGTTTTTATATATAAAAAAGTAGTTTCTATATATAAAAGTCAAAATTGTACTAAGTAAATCAGTAAAAGTAGCTTAATAAAAGTTGTTCAAAATTTAAATATATATATATACTGAAAGTTTCATACAATTTGGATAGTACACTTTTGCATTTTAAATTCAAATTTAAAATGCAAAAGTGTACTAATAAAAAGTTATTCAAATTGTATGAAACTTTCAGAATATGTGTATTTTTAAATTCTGAACAACTTCCATTATAGTCAAAATATATATTTACTTAGTACAATTTTGCCTTTTATATATAACAACTGTTAAAAATTTTTGAAAAATTCAGGGGAGGTAGTTTATTTTCGGGTAAGAGAGGATTCTGAGTTTTTGGCTCAAAAGTGAGAGGGTAGCTTATTTTCGGAGTAGCTTATTTTCGGGAATATACGGTACTTATTGCAAAATGAAATAATATTGTATACATTGTGAAATATGAATAGTTATAAGCTCTAATTAATGTATTATAAGACTATAATACACGCCTTTAAAGTGTGTTGACTAATTTTTTTGAAAGTTTTGTAAGTAATAAAATTTTATCTAGACATAGCCGATACTTTATCCAGAGAATGATCTATATTTTTTCTGGGGTATTTTAAAACTAATCAAAATAAACCTCCACTATGCTTTATTTAATTTTAAAGCTTTTATACTATTGTGGCTTTGTACTTTACCTTTTTATCATAAACACAATATCTTTAATTTTTAAAATAAGTGACTTTACTATTACAAATGAGAATAATCTTTAAGGCACTAATGATTTTTGTAACCAATTCTTGTATTATACTTATAATTTTTAAAACCTTTAATATTCTGGTGTTTTTCAAAATGTTTACAACTTTAAATATAATCAAGACAATCAAAATTCTAACAACCTGCAAAATATTTACAATAATTCATATAATTTTACTAATTAAAAGAGTTATCTTAATTATAAAAAAAAAAAATAAATAAATAAAGACCTAAAAAGTGAAAATAATTATAGATAAAGGCCCAAATTAAAAATAATTACATATATAGGTCTAATTTTTGAAAATATTATGTATAGAGATCTAACTTATTCAAGATCATCATTAATTGTCTAGAATAAAGCAGAGAACACTGTGTTTTTACAAAAGATTATAATTATCAAGATTATATAGAGTTGTTCTTTTATCTACTTTTATGAATACTGATTAGTCAAATATTTTTTATTACATAAGCATAAGTGTTGTACAAACATTTTACAATACTACTGCTTCCTTTTATAAAGTACAATACTATATATACTTTTATACTTCAAACTTTTACTGGTTTTTAGTTTTTAGCAAGTTTACATTATTAGGCATATAAGAAATGTAATCATTGATAAATATAATAATAAATTGTAAATTAGTAATCATAAATTATAAATAAGAAATGTTTTTGATTTCGTAAATACAATAACTTTTATTTATTTATAAAATTGCTTATTATTATAACAAACTATAATATTAAAACTTGGAATAATATTTACCAATATGAAAAGTGTTTGTTTAGTATTAAAAAGTTATTCTGTTGAAACATTTTTGTCTTACAAGTTCAGAACTAATAAACCTAACAAACTATTTGTTGTTTGTCTCATAAACAAAGACAGCAAATACCTATTTACTGTTTCTGCTAACAAATATAAAGATGGTTTTATTCATATTATAAGGCTAATTAATCATAATCAAAATTGTCCAGCTTTTTTGAAAATGTTCAAAGCCTAATACAAAATTATGCTAGTTTGAATATTATCTTTTATATAGTATTTAAACAAAAGTAATTATAACTATATAGTGCTTACTTATCTATATATAATATAAAAATATGACAAATTAAAATAAAATCAGATTAAAATGAAATTTTTCTATTTTTTTAAGAAAATTTAAAATTTTTTGGTGAATATTTTTTAGAGTTAGGGTTAGGGTTTAGAGTTAGTTTTATTAATAAAAGAGTATAAGTGGGTTTTATAAGCTTTAAAGATAAGCAAGAAAGATCTCTAGTTTTATTTTAATTTGATTTCATTATATCTGTAACAATAAATGAGTGCCTTTGCAGTATGGTAATCTCGTAATCATATTTTTTCAACTATTGATATATTTGGGCCCCTATATGTAATATTTTTCAAAAATCAGACCCTTATATGTAATTATTTTTAATTTGGGCCCTTATCCATAATTATTTTTACTTTTTAGACCCTTATTTGTAAATTCCTCCATTGATTAATATAGGTTTAGAAATTTTAATATAAAAATTAATTTATAAAAATTTTTAAAAAGCATACTTATAAACATGCCTCTAAATTAGCTTTAGGTCAACCAATCAGATTTTAAGATTTTATTTAACTAATTTAATTGTCAAATTTAATAAAGTACAGTAATATGTGATAACCACATATATACCAATTTTAGCAATGATTTCTCAAAATCATGTGATTGTCCCGAAGCCACCTTTTGCTATGGTTCCTCCAAATTAAAAAAACTAAAAGCCCAAGGAAGCATGTCTTTAAGCTAAAACTATGCTTGAACTCTAGCAATATAGATACTAAAAATACAAACATTCCGAATATATGTAAGTTATATACTAATTAAGCCTTAAACATTTAGTATATATTAAATATAAAAAGGTTGTCACTAAAAAATTCATAAAGAATTTATTAAAATTCACGAAGTTATTAAAAATCTGAAAATATCAAAAAAAAAAAAAAAGTAGATTTAAACATGATTTAAAAAAAAATTTAGATAAATGATTTTCGCTGATTTGTAACAAACATTAGCCCAAACAACAAAATTTTTTTTTATTAAATATTACTGGTTGTAATCAATATTTTAAAAGTTTAATCCCAATCTTTCTTGATATCAAACGACTACGAAAAAAAAAATAAACTGCATGTTAATTTATGATGCGTTATATCAAAAATATAAAAGAATCGATCATTTAATCTTACCCAGTTCCATTCACAATGAGTAAAACCGTCATCATCAATAAATTTGCTCTGAAAATGATTATTTATGCATTTTTTTTAAATTAATCTTTTTGTAATTTGTATGGTCTTAAGTAATAACAATATAAAACTTTACAAACCTTCGCTTCATAATGGCCACGAGCAAACATACCGCTTGGAGCTTCTTCGACCATAAACTATGTTTGTTAATTAATAAGAACGTTAGTCACGATTATTTATTGTTCTAGACAGAGCGATCATTAATAATTCATGAATGAAAACCTACTTTCTTCTCATAAGGCTCATCGTTTGGACCATAACTACCAATCATTTCCTCAGTTTTGTCGACTATAAAGAAAACGCGGAGGATAAGTTTGACATTAAGCAGACATTTATGGTTTAATGCTAATTACCTTTAATGCCTTTCCTCTTGACGACTTGTATATATTTAAGGCCACAAACAACTTCATGTTGAATTCTATTTTAGATACATATCAGGTAAACTTTTGCACTGTGTTTGTTAGGTTGATTTATTTTCGTTCGGAATAATTTACCTAAACTTAACTTTCATTTGATATTCGACACCTTCTTTGATAACGAAGGGAGTGTTTTTGACATTTTCGAGAGCCTCTATGAAAGACCAAATTTGTATGAGCCATTGTCTAAAAAAATTTATTGTTAATTGTAAGTTTTAAATAAATACCTCTGGACGATAGGTCCAATATTACATCCTCTCTCCCAGGAACCTCAAGTGCAAGATGTAAAATAATTACCTAAAGTTGAAGTTTATTAGCTGAATGTTTGAAACTAGGTAAATTTTTCTATTCTATTCTGAGCTGAGCATACCTTGGGTCCATCAACTTGAGAGCCTGAAACGCCAACCATATCACAAGAAATAGAAAGATGTAAGTTAGATGTAGCTGTAATTTAAAGTAAATTGGATACTTGCTTACCTGCTGCCTTGCCCGCCAAGCCAAGTGACGCTTTCCATCTGTTGAGGGACTCGTCGGTGGAGTCCATAGTAGCGTATTCGTCAAGAGTTTTCTTCTCACCTACTTTGTATCCAGGTGTTTGACTCGGAGCGAGTTCATCCTGATCGGTTGTGGCACTCATGGTACTATAAGTTATTTAAGAGGTGTATTATTACAGAATATGCGGAGCGAGAAGATCGATAGACTTTGAAAGTATCGATTTATCTACCCGCTAGATAATATACTTTTTAAAGAACATAAGGAAATGCAAATATCAATTATCACGTGAGACGTTGTGATTATTGAACACTTTCGCCCGCATGGGCCTAATAAAGGGGGGCACGTCTGTCAAGAACCGGAAAAATTTTGGAACCAAATTTTTTAACGTTAGCCAAATTTTTACCATTTTAGCCAAATTTTTTAAGACTTTGTGAATTTATTGCAACCTTAACTAAGGTGTGTAACTCGTTAGTCACCTAAGTTATCTTAGTTGTCTTATATAGATTTATTTTTAGAATATATAGAGATAAACTTGTAGAATTAAAATAAAATAAAATAAATTTATATATTATAACTATATTTTTTGTTTTTTGAAAATTTCTTAATAGCTACCTGACCAACTTTATTTATTTATTTATTTTTTTTGAATGTCGATGGGTCTAGCCATGACTAATCTTATTTATTAATATGTATATATTTTTAAATTCGGCAGTCTTGCCTCTATTTTATTAGGCTTTATAATATTATATATACTATGAAATATTAAAATTTTTCAAGTCAAAGAAAACCAGACATTTACAAAATGGACAAATGTGTAGTATGTAAAAAGAAAACTGAGAATGTTAAATATCTAGTTGTGAAATTTTACTCGAATTAATGCATAATATAGAACAAGAAGAAGTGAAGCTAATCCTAAAAGAGCTTGAAAAAGAAAGTGACACAAATAGGGAAAAAGAAGGCATTCTAGTAATATTAGAAAAAGAAAGTATATTCAAAGAGCTAAGAAGAAGAGAAAGATAGATCAGAGACCTCATTACAAATAGTGACATCAAAGAGATTCGACTATTTTTCAACTCTAATAGCCAAGTAAAAAATTTCATAATTTAGCTCTGAAAGAACTGGATAAAGAGGATGCATAAAACAATAAAAATTCCCAGATACAAGTTTGTACAGAAATAGAAGAAAGAAAATAGTATAGCACTTAAAAAAAAGAAAAATGTCATTTCAAAAACTAAGTGAGAAAGGAAAAAAAAAAGCCAAAGACAGGAAGAAAACTGTATCTAACAAATTGCTTGAATAAAAAAGTAAAAAAAAAGGAAGTAAAAGATAAACCGCAGTATTAGAAATAGTGAGAAATGAGGTGCCAAGTTGGGTTATAAGTAGTCAACATGCAGAGTGGTGAAAAAGCAATTAGTAGTTTTGACAGGCTATAAAAACCTTCTGTTAAAGTATTAACAAATCTAAGTGCAGAATAAGTTAATATGGAGACTATAGCAGGTTTCACATAGGTATTTATTAAATAACCAGATGAGCTAATAGGTGTTAAGAGAAATAGCCTCTTAGTCTTTCAAATACTAGTAATAGATTGTTTATACACTTTAATTCAAAGAGCTGAATATTATTTGATTAAATATATAATTTTGTTGCTTAATTCCACTTTTTAAGAGTTCATAAAATATTGACCAATATTGATAAGTTTTTTTTTCTTTGTATATAGTGTTTTGAGTACTGTGTACAAAAGTCTATTCTGCCCTATTTATTACTTTTTCAAGCATCTTAGTAAAGGATCATAGGGGCTTTTCTACTAGTTCATTTTTTTATTTCAATTTTAGTTTGTATTCTTTTGTACTTAGTGATACTGGAGTCAAAAATTCTGAGCTGGTTGCACCTTCTCTGGTTTTGAGATCTGTCAGGTTATTAAAAAAAGTCACCTGAATATCCTTTGACTTTTGTAAAATGCAGCTTCAGCTGTTTTGTTTGAACTATTTTTATTAGCATTGCGATAAGGTTACTATTTTTAATCTTTAGCCACTGTTTTATCTTATTTGATTCTAGGCTTTTTTTGATTGCTAAGATTGCTACTTTACTATCTATTTTAATTTCAATCTCTTTTTCTTTTAGTACTGTATTATTAATAAGGCAATGAGAATTGCTACTAACTTGGCTCTGGTCGAAAAAAACTACTTTTCGGTCGCATATACTATTTGATAAGTAATTTGACCTTCCTCTGTTGTTTGGATTATTTCACAACTCATTTGCATTTTCAAATCATTTTCTAATATCCCAAGTAAGCTACCTGTATAAAATAAAAGACTATCTAATTCTTTATTTTGCTTCAAAATTTTAACTAAACTATTTCTAAATTCTTTGTCTATAACACTCAATTTATTAAAAATTTTTTCTAGCTTTTAACTTTTATTATCAGTATGTTTTTTCTTTTTACATTTTGTAACTCTTTAGATGATACCAAGATTTTTTTCTTCTTTCTTTTTAGCATTTTTTTGAGGGTGTTCATGTTGAAGATTAGTTTTGCCTCCTTCTTAGTTTTTTGTACAAAGTTTATAATATCTCTTAGCTCTTTTGTTTAACTATTAATGTTTTTGGTCTTGAACTTGCCTCTAGTATAGATAGTTTAATTAGAAGTAGTTCAGGGGAATATAGAGAATGCAAAAAAAAGAGGCAGAATATAGATACAAAAGCTTAAAGAATAGTCACAGTTGGGTTTTTAAGATAAAGTGTATAAATGGGTTGCTGCCAACGATAAAGGTGCTTCATAGAAGAAATCTAAACCTCTACCCGTTTGATTTTTGCATCGCATGCTTCTGGGAAAAAGAAGATCTAGATCATTTAGCCATATGTGAAATATATGAGAAATTGTGGAGCAGAATAGAAAGTGAAGCATTCAAGGATGCTATAAAGAAAAAGTTAAAGAACGAACAGAAAAAAAGTGAAAAAAAGATACATAGTATTACAAAAGAAGAAATAATTGGAGATTCTCAAGAGGCTATATATGAAAACAGAGTTAACTGTATTAGAGAAATCTTCTGGGAGCTTAGAAACAAGAACAGATTACTAAGAGAGCTACGAAGGATTTACAGCCACAAGTTACGAAAACGCTTTCAAGAGGTGATCTGGTGACTAAGATGTGAAGCTATAATTGAATTCGAGCAGGGCAGAGGCATTACAAACTCACAAAAAAGAAAGTGAGATGAGAGAAGTAATCTAACATACAAGAAAACCAAGAAAAGAAAAACCCAAGAAGCAAGATCTAAAAGAATTTTAGCAAAAGAAGCAGATCGAAAATTGTAAGAGAAGACAAAGAAAGAAGTTAGGAAGGTAATTACAACTAACGTCAAACTAAAGTAGTCAGGGCTATAAAGACCACAATGTTACAAAACTTAAACGCAGTCCTGACAAGGCTAGTAACTACTATCCAAGGATCTGATGGGTAATCTTTTAGCAAGTTGAAAGCCAGAAGGGAGGAAAAGAGTTGCTATAGCAAATCGCATCTGGGCATCTCTAAGCAGCTGGGTAAGCTTTTATTGAAGAAAAGGAAGGGTTTTTGGCTTTAGTGAGAAACTTATATATTTAGATTACGCATTTCTTATACAATAAAGGCAGGATTGCCAAAAATATATATATATATATATAATATTTTTAAAACATTTTTAAATCTTTATTTTATTTTTAAACCTTTGTTGGCTTGGGGAACTTTTTATTAGAGTATAGATGGAGTTTTATATGTAATTACAATGATGGTACATCAAGCTACACGTGCACCTTTTGAGTGCCTAATTTAAGTAGTCTGCCCGAAAGTTCTACACTATCTGCCATACCTGCACCCCAACTAGAGGGGTACTCATTTAAACTATCTGGTTCTAACTACCTCCATCGGCTCTCTAACCTAGAGGGTTTCCTCACTAAACTAAGTAGATATTGGTATCACTCCACATTGGCTTTTATACCCTGCCTTAGGATTTACTAACCCATATAGGCCTAGTTTATCCTCAAAGTAAACCTAATATAGCGATACATGTCCCACACATGTATTCACGTGCTTGTTCCTATAACTTCTTTCTAATTAGTACATATTGACCTGCCATTCCATATTCGTATCTCACACCACCTTTTGGGGTGTTGCTATTCTACAAACATTTCTCAAGCACCAACCTTCCTTCCTAATTAGGTGCCTATTACATACTCCTTGCCCTTGTTTTAGTTTTTAGCAACTCCAGTACTCCGCATTTAGACCGTCTTCTTACCCGGATTCTTTATCGGTCTCTCCCTTACTTCCAGCTGGCAACCCAGAAGAGTTAGTCTGCCCAGGCTTTAAGTGCCTGAAGGACACTTTCTTCTTGGTCCATACTTTCGAAGCATATGTCCTTTTTCTCCAGTGCAACAACCTGGCGGTTTGGCTAGTATGTCCTCTGCTATTAGGACCTGGTTACTCGGTTCTCTGATCTCAGACCCGGTTCAAATTCAGCCCTCCTGTGGTACCATCATAGATCACTACTACCTCCAAACTCAGGACTTGCCAAATGGGTTTCGGTTATTCCGGTTCCTCGAATTTATTGCACCAAAGCTCCCAGACTAGATGGTGTTACCGAGATTACAGATTTCTAGATCCAACTGATCAACAACTGTAAACTATAGCACAGGCTATTTTCAAATTTTGTCATCTATGGGATTTAAACTCTAGACCTGCCACTTGGAGAAGGTGATGACTAAACCACTACACTAAGTCACCACACCTCTAAAAATTTTTATTATATTATTAATATATTATAAAAATGTTACAAAAATGTTTTTTTTATAAAAACATATTTATTATATATTAAAAACATTATTATTTTATTATAAAAACATATATAATTTTTTTTAAGTTTCAGTAAAGATGTTAAATATAAAATTTGAAAAATTGGTTATAGATAGTAAAGTAACAAAAAAAAGACTTGAAAGAAATATTGTAAATAATATACTATTAAATAATTCGAACTAATGTAATTTTATTTAATTAGGATAAAATATATAAAGAAACAATATTTGGTCAAGATTCATTAGATAAACAAAAAGAATTTGAAATTGTTTTAGCTCCTACTAAGCAAGATAGAAAGCATAAGAGAGCACAACAACCATCTAGCT